TTCCATTTTTATTGCCTAACAATGCTTCTTGTTCGATTTATTTCTGATCATATCTATTACATTGAAGAGGCTAACACGGGATAAATAGAAGACAGGAGTTTTTAAAAAAAAATAATCCGCGGTATCGATTTCTTTGTTCATTCTGCACGAGAAATGCGTTTGGAGAGAGAGAGAGTAACTAGTCCTTATTTTGTGGGTGCGCCGTGCCTGGTAGAAGTGAATGACCAGTATGCGTCAGGTATCCCCCCCCCCCCNGGATGATTACACCTGTTGGCAGAAAATATATACAACGACCGTCATCGTTTATTCGTATTTGATAAACAATTTTACCATCTTATTTCCGGTAAGTGACTTGTAATATTCTTAATTTAGCATGTGGTTTAGCACCCGTACCTGGTTACCGAGATTGACAACAACAAGAGATAAAGAAAGAACAACTAAACGATTGAAGCAGTTAGTTCACATAGACTTATCCAACAATATGCCCGTTTGTTTAAACCATCGAATCATCTTTCATCCTGGCACAGCGCTGTTGATTACACGGTATCAGCTTTAAATGGGCCCTGATTTATATTTTCCCATTTCAAGCAACGCTCTATTAGTGTTGAACTACTACAGTCGAATGACTGTCAAGAATAGGGAAGAAGTCGAGTAGTTAGATGGCAGTGGTAGGTAGGACTGTAATATACATGACCTTCGAATCGATGTGATTGTAATATGCACCACATACATCCTCTCAAGTGCTGTCCCATCTTAGTGAGAGCTAGATCGAGGGACCAGAACTGGAGTGGAAATAATTATTTCTTTGACCGATTTTTTGGAAAGTTTGCCGGTATGCGGATCTCAGGATTGATCCTCTTTCAACCACCTGTCTCTCTCGCACCCGCTCACTCACACACAGAGAACAAGGAATTCTTTGAAATGATGCGTCTTCACATGATCTCAGAGCATTACACATTTTTGCAAGATATCGAGCGATGTAGTCGTACACGCGAAATCGGTAAGTTTGATTTGAACCCCTTTCGGTGCTGATTCGTTTCACAAATTTCAATACACTGTTGCCCCATAGACAAGTAATTTTTTAGCAACTAAAGATCCAATACTTAAATTTAGGTGTGACTGCTAGAACAACCACAAAGTGTTCTTGTGGTAATCGAAGTAGTCACCGGTTAAGAGTCACGAATCACGGACGGAACCGAAATAGTCAATAGCACTAGTAATTCTATACCGGAATCTCCTGTTACCTGGATAATTTCGGGTTAAGCAGAGCTAAATTCTACCAGGTGCGTCCGCGGGTTGTAGATAGGGGATACCTTCAACGAAGAAGGTTAGCTGTGAATAAGTTATGGCAACAAATAAGCAGTCGTGAACAAACAGCGGCGGCACTACCAGAGTGTGATGGGTTTCAGGCTGGTCACACCTGGCTCCTATTTGAAAGCCGCATAAGCCCAATGACTGTGTCCTTTCCAAGGAGCTAGCCGTAGTAAAGTAAAGTAAATCAAGTTACCTAGACGCAGGAAAAAGGCCATAAAAGTTGCAGTTCGTTTATTGAAAGAAATCAGTGGGATTAAGTAATCTGTACAAAGGGAGTCTGTTGACTATACAGGTATCCACTAATGTCCTGCTTGTAGTCTTGACTTCATACAGTTTCTGTTTGAACCGCATGAATTCTAATTGGTGGGCTCAATTGACCTGTGGTTTATTTTCCAGAAACTGTAACGCATAAGCGCTTGGCTGGCATCATCTGGGATGGTTAACGCACCACCGTTGTCCAAAAACTGTCCCGCGTCGCTCCGTGGCTGGCGTTATCCTGAAGGCTAGGATCACTAAAGTTCTCAGTCTCAGCTTGCACATGTACTGCGTGAATAATTGATATTTCTAGCCACAAATTTTAGTAAACATGCGGTCAGCATACTGAAGCATAAGCCCGGGTTTCTAATTCAACCCAGTCAGTTCGCGATTCCTGTCCCAGCAGTAGCTCAAGAGTTACAACTATGACTAAAGAGTTTGAACAGAAATAAAGAGGGGTCTCGAGTACTTGTTGGGTGCAGGCCTTCACTGAATTGCATCGCACACAAGATTAATTAATGCCAGGCGCTTAAAGTCCAAATGTGTAGATTTTTTGACAAAGTATTAAAAATCGGTTCTTTTAGCTCGAGTGAACTGAATTCTATTTTCCTTGGCAAGTTGTTTGCAAACGATTCATCACCAGCCGAGGTGACATTATCAGTGCTTGTGAAGTGGCAGTGTTCTGCTTGTATCAGTTCTCCCACAAGATAAGGGATGAATTACTGTGATCATGGACAAAATTGACTACATTTAAAAGGTCAAAGAACTACTCCAAGACACAAACACCTACCGCAGGATCGACAAAGATCACATCGCAAAACTGGAAGACAAAATCAACACCACACTAAAACGACTGGAAGAACTACATCCAGTAACCAAAGAGGAGCACTGGAGAATGAGAACCAAAAATTCAGTTATCCCCAATTCTACGGACTGCCGAAGGTACACAAGGAAGGAATTCTCTTGAGACCGGTCGTCTCTCTTCCAGGAACAGCTACATAAAAGTTAGCAAAGGAATTGTGGAAACGATTGAAATCGGTCATCGCTGGACATGAGTATAGCGTCATGAACTCAAGGAAATTCCTGTACAAACTCAGTCAAGAAGACGAAATAATGGTCTCGTTCGACGTAACCGCTTCGTTCACCTCGATAGACTTGGACCTGGCAAGATCCACGTTGTTGGAATTGATAAATGAGCACCCAACAAACCAACCAACGGAACCCGCTGCAATTTGCGAACTCGTGGCACTATGCGTGCAGACGTAGTTGAAATTCGGGGGTGAAATCTACGAACAGCTGAAAGGAACCCCAATAGGATCACCAATATCTGGATTGATAGGCGAAGCCGTAATGCAAAAGCTGGAGAAGGAGGTACTGCCAAGGATAATGCCCAAACTTTGGCTCCGATACGTTGATGACACATTCGTCATGTTGAAGAAGTCAGCACCGGAAGGATTACATAAAACCATCAAAAACACATTCATTTGCATCAAGTTCACAATGGAGACGGAGAAGGATAAACAATTGGCATTTTTGGACATCTTGATCATCCGAAGACCATCAGGAAAACTGGAGACAACGGTTTACCGCAAAGCAGCGCATAGGGATCTAATTCTGAACTTCAAAAGTAATCATCCACACAGCCACAAAAGATGCTGTTAGAAACTTGTTCGGAAGAATCCAAACACACTGCTGCACCGGCATACTCAAGAAGAAAGAACAAAGATATCTCCTCAGAGTATTTGCTCGCAACGGCTACACTCGTAACTTCGTCAGAAGAACTCTAACCCAAAGAAAGACAGAAACAACAGACGGAGAATCGGGAACACGAACGACTCTGCCGTAAATCAAGGACGTTTCGGAAATAACGGCAAGTTTGCTCAGATCACATGGAATCCAAGTCGCCCGCAAACCGACCGCCTGTCTAAGGAGACTTCTGTCAAAACCAAAGGATAGAACAATGGAGAAGGACAAGAGCAGTGTTATCTACAAAATAAACGACAAGAACTGCTCGAAACACCACATCGGATAAACTAAGAGAAAACTACCAACAAGGATCCTTGAACACCAATCGGCAGTCAGGCGACATGACCCACTCTATTTGGTTTCCCTCCACGAAGATCAAGAAGGACATCCGTTTGAATTCGATTTGGTGAAAATTATCCACCAAGCCCGGTCAAAACACGCCAGAGAATTTCTCGAAGCTTGGCACTCCTCAATAAACTCAATAAACA